TGTAACCAAGAGTACTGGTCCTTGTCATGTTGTAGCCAAGAGTCCCGGCACTTGTCATGTTGTAACCAAGAGTACCGGTAATTGTCATGTTGTAGCCAAGAGTACCGATACTTGTCATGTTGTAACCAAGAGTGCCGGTCCTTGTCATGTTGTAACCAAGAGTACTGGTCCTTGTCATGTTGTAACCAAGAGTACTGATACTTGTCATGTTGTAACCAAGAGTACTGGTCCTTGTCATGTTGTAGCCAAGAGTACTGGTCCTTGTCATGTTGTAACCAAGAGTACCGATACTTGTCATGTTGTAACCAAGAGTACTGGTAATTGTCATATTTTAACCAAGAGTGCCGGTACTTGTCATGTTGTAACCAAGAGTACTGGTAATTGTCATATTTTAACCAAGAGTGCCGGTCCTTGTCATGTTGTAACCAAGAGTACTGGTCCTTGTCATGTTGTAACCAAGAGTACTGGTCCTTGTCATGTTGTAGCCAAGAGTCCCGGCACTTGTCATGTTGTAACCAAGAGTACCGATACTTGTCATGTTGTAACCAAGAGTACTGGTCCTTGTCATGTTGTAGCCAAGAGTCCCGGCACTTGTCATGTTGTAACCAAGAGTACCGATACTTGTCATGTTGTAACCAAGAGTACTGGTCCTTGTCATGTTGTAGCCAAGAGTCCCGGCACTTGTCACGTTGTAACCAAGAGTACTGGTCCTTGTCATGTTGTAGCCAAGAGTCCCGGCACTTGTCATGTTGTAACCAAGAGTACTGGTCCTTGTCATGTTGTAACCAAGAGTACCGATACTTGTCATGTTGTAACCAAGAGTACTGGTCCTTGTCATGTTGTAGCCAAGAGTACCGGTAATTGTCATGTTGTAGCCAAGAGTACCGATACTTGTCATGTTGTAACCAAGAGTACTGGTCCTTGTCATGTTGTAACCAAGAGTACTGGTCCTTGTCATGTTGTAACCAAGAGTACTGGTCCTTGTCATGTTGTAACCAAGAGTACTGGTCCTTGTCATGTTGTAACCAAGAGTACTGGTCCTTGTCATGTTGTAACCAAGAGTACCGATACTTGTCATGTTGTAACCAAGAGTACTGGTCCTTGTCATGTTGTAGCCAAGAGTACTGGTCATTGTCATGTTGTAGCCAAGAGTCCCGGCACTTGTCATGTTGTAACCAAGAGTACTGGTCCTTGTCATGTTGTAACCAAGAGTCCCGGCACTTGTCATGTTGTAACCAAGAGTACCGGTAATTGTCATATTTTAACCAAGAGTACTGGTCCTTGTCATGTTGTAGCCAAGATTCCCGGCACTTGTCAGTTTGTAACCAAGAGTACCGATACTTGTCATGTTGTAACCAAGAGTACTGGTCCTTGTCATGTTGTAGCCAAGAGTCCCGGCACTTGTCATGTTGTAACCAAGAGTACTGGTCCTTGTCATGTTGTAGCCAAGAGTCCCGGCACTTGTCATGTTGCAACCAAGAGTACTGGTCCTTGTCATGTTGTAGCCAAGAGTCCCGGCACTTGTCATGTTGTAACCAAGAGTACTGGTCCTTGTCATGTTGTAACCAAGAGTACCGATACTTGTCATGTTGTAACCAAGAGTACTGGTCCTTGTCATGTTGTAACCAAGAGTACCGGTACTTGTCATAGTTTTGTTGGCATCTTTCCATATTTCTAGACGATGGTGCTATATGGTGTTATAAAAACATGTGAATCGCATCCAACTATAGCCAAATATAAACTATCTCCTCTCCATAGCACAAATTCTGGACAGTGCGGTAGGAACTATGTATTGCCCATGCAACTTGAACCTCCTTTCAAACTGCCTTGAATTTACTCCAAAGAAAGATAAGACCTACATCGAGGTGGAAAAGGAGAAAAGGGGGGGGGGCATTTTAAAGAAGCTGCTGAATCAGAGAAATAGTGCTCTGACGATCCGCCTGTCAGAACTCAACCTCAAAGACAAGCTGCCAACCAATGCTTAGAGTCTGCAATTACATTAGGTTTTCAGATTGTTTTTTCACTTCCAAGATAAGGTAGTATCATCCCTAAGGCGCTCTTGCTCCCGAAGCCCTTGGCCTACCGGAGAAGCCAGGTTTGGTATAACCCCCCCCCCCCCCCCCTTTTTTTCCCTCCAACTCCACTTCAAGCATTGAGCATTAACAGTGGATAGCTCGATCAGTCACAGTTCAAACAAGACCGTACTCCCTATTTGTCTAAGTTAATTATCATTATTGGTACTGGCCAGGTTTCCTTCCCGGAGTTATATATATTTGTTTTTATTTCTCAGTTACTTTATCTAACTGTTTCAGTTGGCAAGAGCTTCCAGCCTTTGGAAATCTCCAACGGTTCATTTTTCACCTGGGTTGATCTCACCGTGTTGCCCTGGGAAGCCGTTGTCGGAGCTTGTGGTTTGGGCTTCTTTCTGTCACTGCTGTTTTTCATGGACCAGAATATATCAGCTGCTGTCGTTAATTCACCGCGCAATAAGTAAATTATTTTGTATTTTAATTTATGTGTATGTCTGTTTTCCTTGTCTTCGAAATGCTGCCAAGAAGAAGAACAACTGAATTTTAAGTTTTGAGGATGTTAAGCTTCTCGTTCTCGTTTCTCTGTTATTATTATTATTATTATTTTTATTATTATTATTATTATTATATTTTATTGGTACAAAGATACCTCGTAAGACTGTTCTTTCAAATCTGCAATAAGGCTTCTTCTTCCTCTTCTTCTTCTCCTCCTCCTTCTCTTCCACCTTGTACCTCAGCAAAGTGTCGGAAAGGGGGGGGGGGGGGTAACGTTCGTTGATGAGCTCTGTCAATAGCACTATTAAGACTGATGTTCATTTCTGTAAGGCTGTTTTTTATGTCATCATTCCATCTACTACAAGGTCTTCCACTCGCTGTATACCCGTTGTAACGTTTCAGTCTGACTCGCTGTGGTAGTACCAGGATCTCATAAAGGAGATGTCCTAACCACTTCATTTGTTGTTCTTTAATGACCTGTAAGACTGGATTTTTTGCTAGCATTCGTCTGATTTCGTATTCTGTCTTTTCTTAAAACTCCTGCAGCTCTTAAATGGCATTTCATCTCTGTTGTAACAATTTTACGTTTATTGGAGGATGTAAGTGTCCACATTTGGCACTAATAGCATAGTGTTGGCCAAAAAGAGTTCTGATAAGATTCACTTTAGTACTCAGGGGTATCTGCTTGAGTGTCAACAGGAGAGATGGTTGCCCCAGTACTTGATTAGCTTTGTTACATCTTGAGCTAATTTCTCTGTCCAGTTTTCCATCGGATGTGAAAATTGCTCCAAAATACTAAATACCTGTTTCTCATGAGCGTTGATTGTTTATTTTATTTCTAAATTGTCTTTCTGTCTTTCCATAACCATTATCTCTGTCTTCGTAGTGTTTATTCTTATATTATATTCCTCCCCTTTGTTATTTTTTTTTTATTTAGGTGGTTCTGTAGACATAACGTACTTTCTGCTACGAGTACCTGGTCGTCGGCGAATAGTAATTCTGCAATATTTTCTTCATGATTAAAGTTCGTTTCCTTGCACATAGTATCCATGTATGTGATAAAAAAGAGGCGGCGATAGTACACAATATAATAAGGCGTGGCCATTTTAAGTTCTACTCAAATTGTCACCGTCATATATTATGCTGTTCGTCATGCAGTGGTAGCCGCCGTAAGCATTGAAAGTCTTGAGTTCAAATCCACAGAAGATGGATAAAAATAAGTCAGTTCGGTTGACAAGTGTTTGAGTAACAGGAAACGTCTTAGGAAATAAATGTGACCGCTGGAATTGTGATTACATTTTCCACCAAGAACCGATTGGTTTATAGACTACATACATATCGAAGGTCACATGCCCATATGCCACAGGCGTAGAAATGGTCCTTCACCTTGTTTATCATGGTGATGCATTCCAATCGTGTGTAATCTTTAGTGTTTGTGACCAGTATAAAACCCAGTTCGTCCATACTAACTCGTATTTTGGTATTATCTCTCTTTGCTGCTTCACATATTCCATTATTAAATTCCCTGATGTTATTTTTCATGGTGGAGTAATCGGTTAGCTTCACGTCCATCCCATGTCATGAAAGCATGGAGACAGTTGTTTGGAATGTCACTATTTACATACATATATATCTGGTCATCCCCTTGTGAGATGCCATTTTTGGTTATTTGAAGCCCTACTCTGGCTCTTGCCAGGGGCCGCAACATAACCCCACCATAAATATGGTCTAATGGCTGAACGCGGTTTCTGGTACCTCTCAACGGTGATCCTCTTCCACATGGTGGCACTTTGTGTCATCAGGTGTTTATCGCTTGTGTGATGTCCTGGTGGCGTAAAGATCTACTACTACTACTACTATATACATAAAACTTTATTGAAGAAAGTTAGATTACAACACAGAGGACCCTTTTCCCCACCAGTGGTTCAATGAACATGTAATGCTAGACATATTTTTATAGACCAGTTGGCACTTGATACATGATGCGGCCAACATCACACTGGGTTACTTTACTTCCCTTGGCTCATCCTGGTACCCACTTTAGTCTAGGTCGACCAAAGTCAGGCTCGTTTAAATCCACTGTGAGTATTCGTCTAAGAAAGTTGCTAGTTTTGTGTGTGTGTGTGTGTGAGTGTGTGCAAAGCATATAGAAATAGGGAAGCCGCCCTGGTTTAGCGGCTAGACTCTCATCTGTGGATCAGAAGGTCGTGGGTTCGGTTCCTGGCGGGGGACGGACATTTTTCAAAAATAACCTTGGCTCCCAGGTTGACCCAGCTTTGAGTGGGCATCAGGTGCAGTCCTAGGAAATAAAGGCGGTCGGCGTGATGCAGACCACATCACCCACCAAGTTGGTCTAGAAATGTAGGTCTAGTCTTTTATACCCACTACGTCTGAAAGGCGTGGAAAGGATCTTTAGCTTTTAGTTTACTATTTAGAAATAAAAGGTGGCTTATCTATTCGTTTCTTTGAGGGCAGACTGAAGAAAGGAACTTGCTACCACTGGGACCTGCTGGTGATCGCTGCCATCAACGCTGTGTTGTCCATGCTGTGTTTTCCCCTCGTGCACGCATCTCTGACTCACTCCTCGCTGCACGTGCACGCATTAGCAGATGTTGAGGAACGCGTCGACAGAGGTCAAGTTCATCAAATGTGAGTTGCGTTTTTACTGATAATGTATTAACGGAAGGGGCGTGCATTACAGACAGACAAGAAAAGTGTATGTCTGTTCAAGAGAATGTTTTGAGACACCATAACATACAGGGCAAACGACAGCAGAGGTGACAGATGTAGAACAGAAACAAACATGTAAACCAAGACTAAGATGGAAAGATAACATCAGGCAAACTCTAAAACAGCGGCACCAACAGCAGGAAAACATACCTTACATATTTTCTAGACGATGGCGAAAATACTCAAAGGTTTTGATCGCAGTTTAAGAGCACTATAATAATAAATGCAACTTGCAAAAGACAGGTAACTACATAAAACGCCTCTATACGGCGCTTTTCGGTATAATTTAGTTTAGTTTAGTCGACGGATCAACATCATGGCACGCAGGTGTAAACCCATAAGTGCTTCGTTCTACTTCTAAATGAAGCTTGAGTCTGAAGAATCGCAGTGCAGTGAAAGAACTCCGTAGCACCAGCGAGGATCCTAAAATACTTTGGGTAGATTTTTAACTCAAAATTTTGCCGGGCAGCGCTGTTGGGCTACTCTTTTGGATTTTCAACTGCGCAACAATACACACTGGCGTCTGTTCTTACTACCCAGAGACCAAGGGAAATTATTAGAAGTCCTTGATAAAAAAAATCGCAGTCCTCACCTGAGTTTGAATCCGGGACCTCCAGTACTCAAGGCGGATGCTATACGGCATAAGGACAAAAGAAGACAAGGAAGAAAATAATAATACTGTGGTGAATGAGTGAGTGACATCCAACCCTACCGGAATTGTAGAGCCAGCGATAAACACCTTGTGACACAAAGTGCCACTACTCGGATGAGAATCACCCTGGCACTGGTCCCATAATCCAATTCAACCGTTACGTTATACCAGGGTCCCTTGACGAAAGCTGGGGTGGGGCTTTAAAATCACACAAAAAATTGCGTTCCATACTAGGGCATAACAATAACATTCTGTGTTCAATGGCAAATAAAAATAATTGTGTATTTGATATATTATTAAATGTTTAGGTAAACAAAAAATGTTAAGCATAATTCCTATATATAAATGAAGGGGTCACTTACATAATTTAGTCCCTTACAGAATGTTTGAGGTGCTGACCCCTCTCCTGGGGCCCTCAAGAGGTCTGGTCCTCCATGTTCGGGCGCCTCTGCTCTACATTTACTTTACAACGTACAATCTAAGGTAGAGGGACCAGAAAAGAAGTGCATGAACCAGAAGCTTATGTCTCCCCCGACACACAAAAGGATACAACAGGAAGTGAAGAAGGGTTGTGTATTTAAGATGAAGAGGTTAAACCGTTTGCCTGGCGCTTTGCGGGATGTGTGTTTGATTTCTGATTCTGCCATTCAGTTCATATGTACATCGGTTTTGGCTATAAGTGAGGGTCATCGATGAGGCTGCGTTTTATGTTCTGTGGGACACTTTGGGAAGTTGAACAGCTGCTGTGTGGAGGAACACCTAGTTATATAAGATTTACCATAAAATCAGTCCTCTAGTCCATGGCTTTTCAACTAAGTTTACATAGGGCCGAAATATTTAAAACTGGGATCGTCACGGGCTACAGGCCCTAGCTCCAATAGAAAGATCTTTTTCTTCTTCTTAAAGCCCATGCCGTGTGGCGTTAGTAGTCATGTCTGTCCGCCACCTCAAGTCTTGTGTACTTTCAATCAACACTGACACAGTTGATCTTTCATAGTCCATGCCGTGTGGCGTTGGTAGTCATGTCTATCCACTACCTTGTGTCTCGTGTACTTTCAGTCAACACTGACACAGATGATCTTCCTTAGTTCATGCCGTGTGGCGTTGGTAGTCATGTCTATCCAACACCTTGTGTCTTGTGTACTTTCAGTCAACACTGACACAGATGATCTTCCTTAGTTCATGCCGTGTGGCGTTGGTTGTCATGTCTATCCAACACCTTGTGTCTCGTGTACTTTCAGTCAACACTGACACAGATGATCTTCCTTAGTTCATGCCGTGTGGCGTTGGTTGTCATGTCTATCCAACACCTTGTGTCTCGTGTACTTTCAATCAACACTGACACAGATGATCCTCCATGATTTCAAGCAGTCTAGCATCTTTTCTCTTGGTCTCCCTCTGCCTCTTATCCCCTCCAACTTTACTACACTTGCGATGTACCCCAGTTTTCTCCTTCTCGTCACATGACCAAAGAATGTAGACCGTCTCTTTCTGGTGTGGGCAATCAGTTCTTTTCGTGAGTCAGTTTCTTTCAAGAACTCTTCATTATTTTTTTAAATGTCCAAGTGTTCTCATCACTCGACTATAAAACCATATCTCTGCAGCTTCCAAATAATGTTTCACTAATCTACCAACTATCGGTGATTCACTACCGTATAGAAAGGTAACTTAATACCATTTAATTCGCAATGGTCCGCTAGGTCTCTGCAGGCCAGATTTAGCTCTCGGGCCACTAGTGAGATAGATCCTGTCTGTTAACGTCTGTCTTCTTCTTCTTCTTCTTCTTCTTCTTTTGAACATATGTTGACGAAATCTGTTGTGCCCAGTCTTTAGTCTGAATATAATACACTGTCCCTCTCTAGAGAGGCGATGAAGCGAGTCTGGGGGAGAATATCTGGTGTGTGTATCCAGCCACCTTTCTTGGATACTAGATTGTTTTAATGTTTTCGTCTCTTGGTGGGTTACGTCACTATTTGGTTGTACCATGTCACTGTCTGTGATATCCCACAGCGAGCTGTGAGTTAAAAAAAAAGGTAGACCATGTAAATGGTGGACTGAAAGAATACGGGGTCCATGTAAATTCATGCAACCACACAGAGTTGCACTCTCCCGCCGTTCGTACTTCACTATGGTATCGCTATTAGAGGAACTACCAGGTCGGGGGGGGGGGGGGGGGGGGGGGGGGGGGTGAGGGGCGAAATAATACTTCTATTTCCCGACGTACGATTTGGAAACAAGTCGATTATGTTTGTGTGTGTGTGGTTAGATCAACATTTCAAGGCATTTACATTTATTTTAATTTTGCAGGCACATGTTGATCTTCTATCCACAGAATAGTTAAAGTGAGAGAGCCAAGACTGACATATCCATTCTTCTTTCCACAGAATAGTTAAAGTGAGAGAGCCAAGTAAAACATATCCATTCTTCTTTCCACAAAATCGTTAAAGTGAGAGAGCCAAGACTCGCATATCCATTCTTCTCTCCACAGAATAGTTAAAGTGAGGGAGCCAAGACTGACATATCCATTCTTCTTTCCACAGAATAGTTAAAGTGAGGGAGCCAAGACTGACATTTCTATTCTTCTTTCGACAGAATCATTAAAATGAGAGAGCCAAGACTCGCATATCCATTCTTCTTTCCACAGAATAGTTAAAGTGAGAGAGCCAAGGCTGGCATGTCCATTCCTCTCTCTATGGAATAGTTAAAATGAGAGAATCATGGCTGACATATCCATTCTGCTCTCCACCGAATAGTTAAAGTGAGAGTGCCAAGGCTGATATATCCATTCTGCTCTCCGCAAAATCGTTAAAGTGAAATAGTCAAGGTTGACATATCCATTCTTTACTCCACACAATAGTTAAAATGAGAGAGACCAGGCTGACATTTCCATTCTTATCTTCACAGAATCGTTAAAGTGAGAGAGACCAGGCTGACATTTCCATTCTTATCTTCACAGAATCGTTAAAATGAGAGAGACCAGGCTGACATTTCCACTCTTCTCTCCACAGAATCGTTAAAGTGAGAGAGACAAGGCTGACAACGATATTCTCCCATGTGTTGATTGGCTTGAGTATGATGATCCTGGGTTTACTTGCCTACATCCCGGCCCCAGTCCTCTACGGCATGTTTCTATGCATCGCTGTGACGGCGATGTTTAAAAACCAGTTCTTTGAGAGAATACTTCTGTTTGTCACCGAGCAGGTAAGGAACGTCAGAGTAGATGGGTGAAATCTTTTTCCCTAACTCAGGCTTATCGTTAAGTAAAAAAGATTGCGGGGAGCAGAAAAATGAAAGACATGTGGACACATTCACACACACGAAGAGACAGCTCTCAGCACAGTTTATATAGAATCTTGAGCCCAAGCCAATAAAGACGCCCTGGTCATCTGTTGCACCTCCACTAAACTCCGAAGGATTCCAGTCATCTTGCCAATGACTTAGATTGATTCAGGCAAGAGAATTCAACTAAATATGCAGCTCATTCTCTCAGACTTATTCCGGCAAAAGAATGAGATCAACAAAATGGGACGCTCTTCATCTCTAAAATCCAGTTCATACGGTTAAATTAAACCAAGTCATCCTATTCTACACACACAAGTAGAATCCCTGCTGTCAGCCAAGCGTCGATGAACTATGCTGAAATTCTTCTTTTAAGACCCATGTAGGGAAAACTGGAGTACTTAGTGAACCATTCGTACGTAATTAAGTAAAGCATTTTCAAACCAACACACACAGTTGACCTTTCTTTACTTCGTGTTGTTTCTACGTGTATCCACAGTCTGCCTACCCACCAAACCATTACATCCGCCGTGTACCACAGAGAAAGATGCACATCTTCACGGGTCTCCAACTGGCGCAGCTGGTGGTCTTGGTGGCTGTGGGATTCGCCCCTTACCCCTACGTGAAATTATTATTTCCTGTAGTCATTTTCCTGTTGATTCCAGTCAGGTAAGTGGTGACTGTGTGCTGTATGTGTACATGCTTGCTCGTATTTTCTATTTCTACTCTGCATTGTGTCATTTAAGGAAGTTTTAAAAAACACATGCCGTAGGAGATTGTCTCCGGTGGATGTGTCAATCTACTGCTATCTTTAGGAATAATATGCAGCAAGGCCCTAATCTCTTTCATGGTGCAAATCTCGCACCACTGTCCGAAAACCACAGAAACAGTATTTTTAACAACCACTTCAATAATTATTAATTACAAGTCACGAAGGAAATCACAAAAGACAGTGAAGATCATACTAGAGACAACATTGCTGATACAGATAATATATTTCAAACAAACGAAAGAAAAAAGAAGAAGTTAATTATTCACATAGTTGGTTAGTTATTGGCTAGTAAGCCAGGACTTTGTAGGTTACTTAGTCAGTTAGTTACTCAATAGACCCACTGCCTCCCCACAAGCATGTCGTAAGAGTCGACTAATTGGGAGTTTCCTTCGAAGGGTGTGCATCTACCTGAGGCAACCACCATCAGTCTGCATACAAATAAGTCAGATTTGTATAACAGATGCAAATGCAACACTCAGGTTCTGGAATAGAGCGAAGTTCAGAAGTGGACGAACAACCAAAACTTTCCGCTGGAGTTTACAGCCGATGAACGAGAAGAAGAAGAAGAAAAATCTGTCGTATTCTTGCATGTTGAACTCTTTCACTCTTGTGTTTGCTTCTGTTGGATACTTTCGGTGACAGTACCATGGTGTTTATTCTTGACACATAACCAAACCATCTGATATCTTCTTTTTTTCATAATTTTCTGGGGACTTGGGTGGGGGTGCTCAATCCTATATGACTAGGCCCTTCTCCACAGAACGGCTAGCTGCCTCCTGCTGCCCAAAACACGAACTCCATAGATCCCGCGACAGTCCCCATGGATCTCCACTCAAAACTGCACCTGTGAACTAGACCACGCCCATCCACAAAGCAAAACAAACGGCTTGGCTGCTTGCTCCCCCCCCCCCCCCCTTTTTCCCACTTTTTAAAAAACAAATTTAAATTAAACTGTATGCTCTACTTGTGACGAATTAACCTTTCTATTTTCAGACAGAAGCTAATTCCTAAAGTCATAGAACATAAGTACTTGAAGGCCATGGATGGGAACTATAAGTGAAAGAGTCAACACCGACAGAGACAACCTTTCGTCTTCTAATTAGTTTTTTTTTTTTTTTAAATCATCCCCCCTCCCCTCTTTTTTTTTCAGCATTGCTTTCTAATGGAATCACTCCCGTGACTCATACAACCCCATTATTGTTGTAGCAGCAGCCAAAGTTTGGACACTTATTTGGCCATAAACCTAACAGTTATATTAGGGAATTCGGCGGGTATGTAGTAACCTATAGTCGAGTTTTGGCGGGATGACCTGTTAAATATAACCTACCAAAATGCTGTGTACAAAAACGTAGCCGAACAGAAAATACTTTCTCCGTTGCCAGCAAGGAAATCATTCACAACATTAGTTGGTTAAAGGTGATGGATAATTTTCACCTAAAAGCAGTGAAAAGTACGAGAAAGTTCCCAGTTACTGCTGACAGAGACAACACAATTCCCCTTTCCCCTTTCGGGACGGCATCCTGGCAGTTTGAGAGCCAATGATTTTTTTTTTTTTTTTAGAGTTCACCGGCTATAAACTTTGGCGGAAAGTTCTAGTTCTTCGTACAACTTCTGGATTTTGGTCATGTTTTAGAATTTGATTTAGTTAGTTACTCAGTCGTCAGATTATCCTGTTTGAACATTGAAACATTCAGTCCATAGGGGCTGGGATCTTATCCTTAGTAAATTCCGCAGCATGCAGCGCCTGATGACAACAGTTCTGTTTTGGTTTCTTATTCTTCTTTGGCTTCCTGCTTAGTGCTCTTTTCTGGCCACACCCCTTTTAACTTGTATTTACAGTCTGGTCATGGTTGCAGACTTACTGTCATCACCTGGTTCTCGCAAACATCTTACTACTCATAGAGCATTCAGTATATCTGTCTGGTCCATGGCATGTCCGCCCACCACGGTAGCTTTACCGGCAAGCCTATCAGCTTGCTCATTTCCTTGCACGAATATGAAACTGATGCGTCAGCCCCGACTGCTTTAGAGATCCCATTATTTTGAGTTTTGCATGCACAACCATTTTACATATCTAGATTAGTTGTATGCAGATTGTAAGTAAGTTTTACCCCACCAGGATATCACACAGAGCGAACACCCGGTGGTACAAAGTGTCACCATTCGGATGAGGATCACCCGTGAAGAGGTCCCGGAAACCTTATTCAACCATTAGGACCCCCGGCTATAGCATTAACTACCCTAAACATGCTGACAACTCTTACGTTACTAGGGGGCCTGTGGGGGAAGCGTTCCATGGTGAAGCTGAAGAAAGTCAAGAGATAGGATAGTCACCACACTTAACAAGACTACGAATGCGTGCAGAATGATACAGAAGATATCCAAGAAAGAGCTACAGCTACTGTATGAGATTGCAGTGGTGGCATCTTGTACCACACTATACGGAGGTAGGTTGTCAAGCCAATCCAGTTACAGATAAGTGACAAGGAAATACACGACTAAATACAGAAAGAAAACCGTAAATTCCTCATCACCACGGGGGAGCGACTCGGATCCAGACACAACCCTACGAAACTGGCTGTGATGACTATATCCCGGACAAAGTTATGTTTGACAAGAAACCACAAAGACCAAAGCAGTATGTCCCACCAGTACTGCAATGTTCGCGCTGCCAAAAAGCCTGGATTCCAAAAACAACTTGTCTCCGCAAACAGGAGCTTTGCAGATATGGCTCTGAGCCACATGCCTACAGCGAAAACTACAGCCAGTGTCTGAAAGCCAAGACAGACAGCGATTTCCGCAAGCCCAACACAAATAGAAAATGCACAAACTGCTCCGGCTCACATGGCGTGAGATACCTGGGATGCCCATATCTACAACAGTGCAGAGTGACAATGAGAACAGCCATCAAAGAGAGCTTACCCTATCGAGAAGCCCAAGGAAGATGCGACACCCAGGAGTGATACCTTGATGGACAAGCCGAGACTTCAAGATCACATAGAATTATAGACCAATTGAAGATTGATATCCAGAATCTCCAACATAATAACGCACCTGCAGACTTACAGCACACACAAATAATAAGGGAGATGGAGGAAATGAGAGATATACTAACAACTATATTAGAAGTCCAAAGAAAGGTGGTGACCGAGGCAACATCAATGGAAGAGTGGCAATGCTCAGAGATTTCCAGCAAAAGCGAGAAACAGGTCCAGTACAGGAAGAACTAGTCGTCACCAAGGTTGTAAGACCTCTTAAACTAGACAAGGAAACTACAGAGACGCAAAAAAACACAAATTCAAAACTAAGGGTGAGAGAGGCAGAGCAACGGTTTCCAAGAAAACTATGAAAGAACTGCTGAAGCGATCAAGACAGCCTCTGGATACGTGGCACAAAGAACAAAGTCGACTGGCGGCCTACAGGTTCTACAAAGAAGTATTACTCCAAAGGAAAAGTAAAGAATCCACCTAGTACAGAGGAAGTCTTAGCAAGCCAGCATTAGGATGAAATCATGGAATATCTCATATGGAGACGTGGATGAAGCCAGACAGCATACAGAGAACACTGCAAATACTTGAGCCAGATCAAGACAACAGCCGAGATTCTTCTCGTATATGCCGTCTAGTGGAAACCACCGACATATCACACGATGGAACAAACCACATGTTTAATTTCAACAAAGCGACTACAATAGCAGACACGTGAAAATGAAACAGAGGAGAGCAACTAGTGGCAGAGATGACATTATCCGGCAACACAAGGAGCACCAAACTAACCAATTAGCACTAAGATGACGGCCCTACAAACAACAAGCAGAAAACCTAGCTCGACAGACTTGGGAGCTACAACTCTAAGAAACACACAATGAAATAAGAGCAACAACAGGAACCAAAATTATAACTAATGTTATCTAGAAGAGGTTAGCTCCCTAGGTAGCGGCTGAACTTGGCCAATTCAAATTGATAATGATGATGTTATACTTTAATCAGAATGCCTGCCCTAAAGAAGACATTTTAAACTGAATTTAAAAAAGAAAGCTTTAATATTAATCACTGTCATCATGGACAAACTTTAAGCTGAATATCTGCCTTAATGAAGACACCTTGATGTGAATGACTACTTTAATTAATATAATTCA